GCCGCGCGGCCTGCGGAGCGGAGGACGGCCGCCGGGGAGCCGAGGCGGCGTGCGCGCTGCCGGCCGGCGTCCGTGCTGCGGGCTCACCGGCGTTCTGCACAGTGCTGGTGGTCGGAAGCCGGGTGGGAGGAACGCTGCGCCAAAAGCCCTCCTTCGTCCTGCTTTTCATACTATGTCTTAAAAGTACTCTCGGAAAAGCAAACGGACTTTTTAATCATTTATATTGGCAAATACTGGATTTAATCCTACTTGTAATGAAGGCGCCAACTAACCCGTTTCCAGGTGTATACAAATGCAAAAAGAACAAAGAACTTTAATTTCCATTTCTTTTTTACAAATTAGTTCCACGTTTATTATGCTTCTAAGTAAATATAATTCTTAAAAATAACAGTGCCTGAAATGAGACCAAGACTGGATGAGGTTACTAGACAAATTTTAAATCCAAAGCCCAACACTGCTCTGCGTGTATTTGGCGCACATCCCAAGGAGATGAAAACGCACAGTAACTCCTGTGTGGACCTAAATGTCCTTAAACTTCAAGACTTACTTTTCTTAAAAATGGGCGTCTCGCCTTATGAAGAACAGAAAGATCAATGATTTGGCAGTGTTTTGATTTGCTGTGAAGGAGCTGTGTTTAAATTTGTAATTGGGTGGAACCCTAAGGAATTTATCTTTGTAGGTCAAAATTGAAATGCCGGTTTTGAGGATGGTTCAAAGTAACAGTTCTCCCAGTTCGCCCTGTAACGGTTTAGTTGATCATGGAGGTGGAGATTTCCAGCATGAGGTAGTATGTTGTCAATTTCATATGGCCCAAAGTCCTACAAAATAGGTATTCTAGCCCTGCGTGGTGGCTCACCCCTGTAATCCCAGCATTCCTGTGGCTGAGGCAAGAGGATTGTTGTGAGTTTGAGACAACCCTGGACTGCAAAGTGAGCTCAAGGCCAGCCTGAACTGCATAGTGAGACCCTCTCTCAAAAAGACACACACGCACACACAGAGGGTATAACCAACACATTTATAAGTGAGAAACCTGAGGTAAGGGGCCTGGCATGAAAATTGGCATGCTGCTGACCGCCACTGTAACCTTTGAAGTGTAATGAGACAGAGGGGTCTAAGATGCGTGGTTTGGCTCTTTGTCACTTTAAAACACAGGAAATACTGGGTACCTACTTCCGCAATCATTGCTGTCTCTAGTCCAAGTTCACGGTCAATCTACACAATTGGTGAACTATTTCCCAGGACTTTCAGCCTAAACGCTCATTAAAGACATTGACAACACCTTTGCTTTCCGTCATTGAATCCTGAGAATTCTTACCTCAGAATCTCCCCACCAACCCCCATCTCTGCCATTGTACGTGGACCCCACACAGATTACCCATGAATCCCCCTGCTGCACTCTGTCCCTTTAACATTCATTACATTGAGGAATATCTGTGGAGCACTTACTGTGTGCAGATACCATGCTAGTTACAAGATACTGGGCCAGCCAAATCGCTCAGGGGATAGAAGCACCTGCAAGCAGGGGCCGGGGGCTCGATGGAGCCTGCTGTGCCAGCCCTACCCCCACCCCCACCCCCAGCCACACTGAGATGGCAATTCAGACTCAATGTGGTTGCACACATCTGTAATCCCAGCTCTTGGGAGGCTGTAAACAGGTGGACCACTAGGAGTCCAATCTAGTAGTGAGTCCCTGAACACCCTCTAGACCCTTCCCTAAAATACACACAAACCAAGATACTAAGATACAAGAGAATCTATATGCTATCCTCAAATTCTGTGATTCTTCTCCCTTGGCTTCAAGAAGTGGCAGTTCATTCCCCTTCCCATGGGTGGGAGCTGGGGTTAGTGGCTCACTGCTAACAAATAGACTACAACATAAACGTTGGGTGTGACTTCCAAGACTAGGGTGCAAAGACATTTGGGGTTTTGCTCTCGCTTCAATCACTGGGGAAGCTGTGTTCTGAGAGTCCTTGCAGTGTCTGGGGAAGGATTGCTCAGCAAGGGCTGAGGCCTGCTGTCAACATCCTGCAGCGCTGGCCAGCTCTGAGGTGGAGGCAGTTTGGACACAGCTTCCAGCCCCAGAAAGCCTGCAGGTGACCGCAGCCCGACTGATCTCTTGTCCATATCTAAGGGCACCCGCAGTCAGAACTAACCAGGTCCAAATTCCCACCCAGAACAGCTGAGAGACAGCAACTCTTTTGTAATATTTCAGGAGAAACGAAGACCTTGCCATCTGGTGTGGTGACAGATGCCTGTAATCCCAGCACTTGGGAGGCTGAGGCAAGAGAAGCACCATGAGTTCAAGGCCAGCCTGAGCACACGGTGAGATCCTGTCTCAAAAAACAAAACCAGCTGGGGCCAAGTCACAGAACATCCACATCCAACTGAGGACAATTTAGTTGGAAACTGTTGGGGAGGGAAAATCAGACCTGGAGGGGTTTTGTGGGTCCTCCTCAGTGCAATTGTTGAAGCCAGACTGTGAAGTGCTGCTAGGTGAGAGGAAAAGCCTGAGGGGGGTGGAGTCCTAGTGAACCCTGACACTGAGAGAGGAGGAGGAGGAGGAGGAGGAGGAGGAGGAGGAGGAAGGAAAGAGTACGTGAGGAAGCTGCAATGTAGGATTCTAGAAGGGTCAGTTATGTTGGGATAAGGGTAAGATGAAGCCCCATGATTCAGCCATTAGTGGCTTTTAATTTTTATTTATTTATTTATATTTTGAGTCAGGGCTGTGCTTGTTCCAGGCTAACCCCAAAAATCTTGATCTTCTGGTCTCAGCCTCCCAAGTTGCTAGAACTGTGACATGTCACTGTGCCTGTCTTACTAAAGACCTCTGAGTGATTGCTTTTAAGTGGAGTGGACTTAGCTCTCGGCAGAAGATGAGAAGGAGGTGGGAGAGTGGTTTTTGTTTTGTTTTTGTCCTGGGGATCGAATTTAGGACCTTGCGCTTGCCACGCAGGCACTTACACCGCTGAGCTCTAACCCCAGCAAGTGGTCTTTTTTAAAATATAAGTTTCATGAGAAAATGGGGAGATGTGTTTTGAGGAAACTTGAAGACCTAAGGAAGGATTTTGATGTTGTATTTAGTTATTGAGCTTGGAACATATTTGGGGATACAGATGAAAATTCCAGAAAAGAGACAAGGGAAGGCTGGGCATGGTGGTGCACACCATGTGAGCTCAAGGCCAGGCTGAGCTGCATAGCGAGACCCTGCCTCAAAAAGGGTCTTCCAGAAGAAAACAAGGGAAGGCACAGAAGATACAACAAGGGTGGGAGGACACTGATGAGGTGGGGGGCTGCTGAAGAAGGCCCATGACAGAAGACAGAAACCCTGAGATGGGCACACAACCTTGGGACCTCACAATGGTGGCTATCCAGTTACATCTGCAGGTGGAAGAAGCCATAACCCACCACACTTACATTGCACTCTGCAGTTGCCCTGTGAAGGGAGCCAGACAGTAACTTCTTGTAACTTTTCTGAGACACAGGAATGTCCATGATCAGTACATAGCCAGACCTGGCCTCGAACCAGACTGTGGGACTCCCGGTACCTAGTTCCCTGTGCAGCAGTGTGCCATGGCCTCCCAGCGCTTGGCACTGTGGGGCGACTCCAGGAGCTCCTCTGTGCCAGTCCAGCCACAGCTCCAACATGCCAGCTGCAGCCACTCTTACCTCAATTGGACTATCCCCTCTTTGCAGACTGGGCCTGTGACTTTGAATCTGTTTTTGTTCCCCTCACAATCGCCCGGTTCTGGGTCCTTTAATCTAACAGGTAGCTGTCCTTTACTACAGAGGTCGGGTCTTGTCCCTTCCTAAGCTTCAAGACCCTACTGCAGAGGCACCCAGAGCACCTTGTGAGCACCGTAGGTCGCGTGTGATACCAGGTTCTCCTGTAATCATTGCACTTGCCTCTGAGTGTCAGCTCCCACTGGATAGTGCAGCCTCTCGAGGCAGAAATCAGTGCTCCCTGGAAAGCAGGACAGTACTGTCATGCTTAGAGTCCTGTGCCCACGTCCTGTACATGGGCTGATGAGATAGCTCAGCGAACTAAGCACCTGCTTTGGCAAGCGCTGGGACCAGGGCTCAAACCCTGGTCCCGGGGCATGCTGAGTTGAGGGAACGAGTCTGGGCATGGTGGCACATGCCAGTAATCCCAGAGCTGGGGAGGCTAAAAACAGGAGGATCACTAGGAGACTGAACCACGAGGTGAGACCCTGTAGCAAATACATGAATGGAAAGAATAAAAGAGCCCCGTACTTGGCCTTGTTGTTGAGCATTGATGGTGTGCACAACTGGCCAAGAATTGCCGCTGCAG